CATGACTGCAGTGACACCTTCAGGTCGACCATCCTCAAAAAGATGCCTGACCTGACACGTCCAAGTCGACTGTCCTCACAGAGATGCCTGACCTGGCACATCCAGGTCGACTGTTCTCACAGGGACACCTCGCCTGACATGTCCAGGTCAGCTCCATCACAGAGATGCCTTCACCACTGCATTTAGGTCAACTCTCTTTGAACTGTCTTTTTTTTTTTCCTTTTTTTTGTCTTTTTTACTGGCCAGTAACGGGATCGCAACCCTCAGTGTTGCGCCCGCACCACGCTCAGCCAGTGAGTGGGAACCGGTCTCCACATGGGATCTGAACCCTCGGCGGGAGCGCCGCCGCACTCCCAGGCGACGCACTTTCCAGTGCGCCACCGGGCCGGCCCTGAACTGTCTTTTTAACTAGACCTTGACTGTGGTCTTCTGTCTTCTTGACCTTAGGATTCCAGTTTTATGAAGAATCCTTTAGTTTAGTTTATCAAGAATTCCCGTAATTAAGTTGAGGTCTAATCAGTCCCTCCGAGTTTGTCCCATCCATGGACCCTCACTCTGTCCTTGGCCATAAGTCCCCAGCTGGCTTTGCTGTATTTGGAACTGAGCTCAGCCCTATAGGAGGTCTATTTTTCAAACTACAGCACCTCAAATAAAATATTTCTTTCATTCCCATCTGGTTCACAATTATTCTTTTCCAAGATCAAGAAGCCAAGTTGCAAATCGCAGACGTGCAGCTGAGTGGCCGTGTGATCTGGAGCAAGTCCCGCCCCCTCTGTCCCTCCCTGTCTTCTTCTGTAAGGTGGGGATTCAAAATAGTACTTACCTCCTAGAGATAACTCACTGGGGGATTCAATTAGTTGGATGTTTGAGACGGTGCCTAGTGCCTGCCAGGCCCTTGCCCAGCTGTGGTGGGCACGAGGATCGCTCCTGATCCAGAGCAAAGAGCCTGTCCAGCACTGTGGGGGGCAGGGGTTAGCAGAGGGACAGGCAGAGGAGCCACCCAGGCCACTGCAGGACGTACAGGGGAGCGTTTGAAGGGGCCTGGGAGGGAGAGAGGGAACCGGTGAATCTCTTCGGTGTTGGGTTTTCAGGACAGTTTCGTGTCCTTGGGTGTAATCCGGGCTAGGATTGTACCTTGTGGACGTCCTCTGAAAGTCACTGTCAGGTTCCCACCCAGCAGCAGGGCCAGGCAGGGTGTCCCCGCAGATAGACTGGCATGAGCCCAGCATCTGGCAGAAGAACAGCTCCACGGCCCCGCAGCCCGACCTCTGCCCTCCCCACCAGGACGGAGACTGGTGTCGACCACCCTGAGCCCATTCTTCCTCCGAACTCCAGCACAGGGACACGGGGCAGAGAGGGGAGCAGGCTCACCAACGCAGGTCCTCGCGTCCTCTCCCAGCTCGTACGGGTCGGTGCAGATGCAGCGAAAGCTGCCCAGGGTGTTCCGGCACCGCGCAGAGGGGTGGCAGGGTGCACGCGCGGGGTCTCTGCACTCGTTGACATCTGCAAGCAACGCCAGGGATCCGCGTGTGAGGCCAGTGCAGCTCTCCCCATCACGCGTGCAGCCACTCCTGGGCTGAGGTCCCTGTGCCCAGGCAGAGCACGGGTACCTCCTCCATGTGCCACCTCCATGTTGCGGCCGCCGCTGTTCCCCGCAGCCCCCACAGGTGGTGGTGGCCAGTGTCCTCTCAGGAGGCGGCACCAGTGAGGCCCCTGCTACCACGAGGCCCCACGTCCTCCCCACCCACCTCCTGTATCTGAGGTCTCCGCAGCTAATGCTGGACTCGCCCAGCCTGCACGCAGGGCCTGCCAGACTGGAGGAAAGCGGGTGCTGCCGGGGAGGCACCTGGCAGGTGCAGGGTATGGAAGGGGTGGCAAGGAGGATGGGGTGGAAGTGGGGACAAGGTCAGCACGTCCGAGCAGATGATTTCTCAGCTGGCCAGCAAAATCCCTGAGAGCAAGAGCTTGGGGCTGGGACCCTTCCCCACCTCCTCAAGGAATGTTGTCACTGCTCCTGTGGATGCACAGGCAGACGTCGAGCAGGGGTCAGTAACTTGATTTTTAATCTTGGAAACATTGGTGCCGTGGATGTCACTGTCACTGTTGGGGGTCTCCATACCCTCCACTGCAAATGAGGGGCGTGCACCTGAAATCTATAACCTATTGCTTGATTTCCTGGGCTCATGTTTCTGAACAACTTGCTCTACAACTTTTTCTCCAAATAATGTTTCTTTTCTGGCCAATTCCAGGAAACAAGCAGTAGTATGTAAAAAAAAAATGTATTGTCTGTTACTAAGCACATGTTCTACAAGTAAAACATATTAGTAGACGCTATGTGTGTGTGTCCTCAGAGGGGTCCTCTGGCAGGATGGAATGAAAATGGCCTCGGGCTCAGCCTTCGCCGAGGGCCAGGCCTGGTGGCTGCAAACCCTCCCTCTAGTCCAGGTACCCTGTGCTGACAACAGCCAAGACAAAGGTGCAAACTTGGAGGAGGGTGGAGTGGCACGCTCAGGGTGACCACACGTAAGCCACCTGTGGAGCCCCACAGGCCAGCGGGCTGGGTTCTGCAGGCTAGGTGCATGGGCTCGGTTGGACGGGGTTGGGGTTTGATCAGGCCACTGACACCAAATGCAGGTCCAGGGTGACAGCCTGACCCCAGCAGCTGACTTTTATCTCTTGTAAAGTGAGTGTAAATATGCAGACTGTGAAGGATGCCAGGGGATTAGTGACGACGCACAAGGGATGAACCTAGCAGCGTGTCTGGGACGAGACAGGCCCTCAGGATGCCGGGACCGTTAGCAATGAAATTCGTGATACTGGCAAGAGTGATGTGACAGTAGGATAAGGGAGCGGGTGATCTCAAAGACTTGGAGCTGTGTGACTACGACTTATTGCTAATTGTCTTTTTATTGTTGATGTTATTAAAAATGCTTTACTTACCTTTGACCATGCCAAGGACTTTTAACATGTAACACCTTTCTTGGATGAAGCTGACCTGGAACCAGCCCTGCCTGCATCCCGCAGTGCAGCACTATGAAGGGCGGGTGCCCTGTGAAGATACCTGTGGCCTCACCTGGGGCTCAGGCTTCCCCTCTGGCCAAGTTTCCTGCAGCTGCCATGACAAATCATCACAAACTGGGAGCTTCAAACAACATAAATTTGTTCTGTCACATCCCAGGTCTGGAGGCCAGAAGTCGGACTCAATTGTCAGTGGGGCTATGCTCCCTTCAGACTCTGTGGGGGGCTCCGTCCTTGTCTCTTCCATCTTCTGATGGTCTCTGACAATCCTCAGCCTTTCTTGGCCTGTGGCTGTGTCTCTACAATTAGCCTTCACACCACCGTCGTCCCTGTGTCTCTTCTCATAAGATTACCAGGCATTGGATTATGGCCCACCCTAATGACCTCATTTTAACTTAACGAAATCTACAAAGACCTTGTTTCCAAACAAGGTCACATACTGAGGTACTGGGGGTGAGGACGTGAACATATCTTTTTTGGGACACGGTTCAGCCCATAACACTCGACATATGACCAGTTTATACTAATCTAGGTCTCCTCGCCCGATGATTACACTGAGGAATGTGTCACAAATCTACCCTGCTTGGACAATGGTGCTCCTTACACCAGGGAAGGAGCAATGGGGTCAGGCCTGCAGGGTTCCCCGATTCCTGCACCAATCTGCACAAAAGCCCAGGCTTCGCAGATCTGCCCACTTTACCTTCTCTTTTCAAGAGGAGCACCAGGCGGCATCCCCAAATCTCCACATGCAGGTAGTGCTCAAATATCCGGACAGATGTTTCCATTTCTTGTAAGCAAATGTGTGCTGATGGCAAATCTTACTTCCCATAATAGACACAAAATACTTACTTGGATTTATTTATTGCATAACCTTTTGACAATAACTACTGCAAAAAGCCACATAGCTCTTTATCTATTTGGAATTCACAACTTTAAAACATTCGAACAAGACTTATTGCAATTTACTTGCTAGGATGTTTTTTCTATCACATTTCTGTGTGGATGGATTTTAGTGGGTAAGTAGGATTTGAATAGAGAAAAGAGCAGCAAACCTCATTCGGTTCTCTATATCAAATATTCAATTAACCTGTAGCTTTTTTTTCTGCAGCCATAGATATGTTGTTAAGCGGATTGCATTGAGGATCAGACTGAAAATTTATGTTCCTATCGACTTACCATAAAAGTGAAGAGTTCCCTCTCTGGAATATCTAGGAGTCTATTGTTTTCCTGTAATTTTTGATTTAGAATCTTCTAGTTTAGGGAATAGATATGGTGAAAATATTTGCATATATAAATGAGTGTGTTTATGCCACGGGTTTTTTTCTTATTGAGCTGTTTGTCACTTGCTTATTTTTAAGGTATTATACTTTAAGTATAAATGCAGTAGGACAAAAACATAGAGTAATGTAACTAAGAAGTGCATAACCTCTCCTCCGTCTGCACAGCTCACTCTGCTGGGTAGCCAATACCAGCGAGCTCTTGAGGACGGCCACAGCTTCGCATTAACAGGTGTGACACACACACATACGCTTCACTGCTTTCTAAAAATCTAAATGATTCTCAATAAACACATTTCACTGTAACTTGCATTTTTACTTAGCGATAAGTGTCCCAAGTCAATAGTCATACTGCTAATTTATTCAGTGTGATAGTTGACGGTGTGGATGTAACATAAGTTAGACCACAGCTTTCAGCACTTACTAGGATAATAATGATAGGTCTGTGCCTGGTTCTTTGTATGGTGCATTTATTAACTAATTGAAGTTGACAGCCAATGAGGTAGACCTTTTACCATCCTCATTTCAAATTTGACAACATAGAAGCACACAGAGGCCAAGCAATTTTGGGGAGACATTAGATAACTGCTGGAATGGCCCAGGCAAGAAGGCCAAGTCGGCACACTACAGAACGAGGTCAACGGTTAGGGCTGGGCGACGGGCATCTCAGACGTTCATAGACTCAGTCTAACAGGGTCTCTTGAGGATGTGGATTCCGACTCAGGAGCTGGGGACAGAGTGGCCTGAGATGCTGCAGATCTAATGAGCTCTGGGTGACACTGCCTCTGCTGGCCTAGAGCCCACCTGGGCACCCACTCTGCAGTGCATGGGCCATGCTGGGAAACCCTCCTGCACCCCTGGAGCACCCAGAATGGACCAGGGATAGAGCAACATTCAGTGTTAATCCTGAGTCCCTAATGGCCATGGTGCATGACCAACAACTGATTCTAACTGTAGGGAGACATGCCTTGATGCAATGAAATATCAAGGGAGAAAAAGGATGGCAGGGGACAGTGGAGTGAGATGATTTTAGTAATAGAAGCGAGATTTTGATGGCATTCCTAAATTTGCCAAGAGGAGGCAGGGAGGACATGCCACACTTAGGAGATAAGAAGAACAAAGTCATGAGACTGGAAAGTCAGAGAATGCTTCCAACGTGGCAGGCAGGATGCATGTAATGTCCCTTTACTTGTCTGTTTCTAGGCTTTAGCTCTTCCTCTATTTGTATATCACAAATCCTTGTAAATAGAGCTTTGGGGTCACAAATACCTAAAACGAATAGCCAAAATGGGTGTACAAAATGTTAAGATACTTAAGGAACAAGAGACACAGGGCACGCAGGTGAGGTGTGCACCAGGCAGGTTGGTTGGGCACAGCGCGCCTGCTGTGCTAACCCTGAAGCCCGGACCGTGGTCTCCTGGACCGTGTCACTGACGTGGAGAGCCGAGAACCTGGGGCAAAGTGGGAATTGCAGTTTTGCTCAGGTACTAGGCCAAAACAACATGGGAGACTCCCAGATTGTTACACTGTTGCCACTGGAGGATGAGCCACAGAGCACAATGGTCAGGAGTGATGGACGTGGTAGGTGACAGCTATGGCAAATGCACGCTGCTGTCACCATGCCGCACATCCCCGACGGTGTTCTCTGGAGAGCGGTTCTGGTCCACTGTCTTGCATCTGCCTTGGGTCTCGAATGACCACTTCCTCCTGGGACAACTCCAGGACTGTGAAATTGTTTTAACAGTTCAGACAAAGGTTTTCCAGTCCAGGCCAGCGATTTTGGCAATAACGTCTCTCATCTACCTCGCAGGCTTCTGAGCAATTTCTTCCCTGTCAGCTCCATGCTGCATTCACACTTCTCAAGGTTGTTTCTTAGACATCATTCCCAGCCAGCTTTGTCTCTTTGCTCCCTCATCCGCCTCTCTTAACTTTAAGGTCCTACCTGAGGGTGCCTGTGACAACAGACGTGGTGGGCAGCCTGCACCCTTCATCTGACAGATGCCCTGGGCCTGGGTCTTGGAGAGTCTTGGGTGCTCACAGACTCAGCTGTGTCTTTTTCTCTTTAGGGTCTAAAGCAGTTGGCCATAGCAACCCTTCAAGGACAAAACACCCTGGACTTCCAAATTTGAAATGGAAATGTTTGTTATTGTGGTAAATCATACATAGCACAAATTTACCATCCTAGCCATTTTCATGTGTACGGTTCAGTGGCTTTAGCACAGTCACACTGTCATGCAGCTATGACCACCATCCATCTCCAGAATGTTTTCATCCTCCCAAAATGAAACTCTGAAAAAACTAAAAAATTTGGATTTTGTTTTTATGTGTGCTTGCAAAGCAGCCACACTCCTGCATGCGTCACCCCCTCCTTCTGAAACCCTGCCAACTGCAGCTCTGACAAGGAGCCCACCGAGGCTGACTCCAATGCCAGCCTCACCCCAAAACAGCCTCGGTAGGTGACCTGCCTCCTTCCAGACTCCTGCTAGTGAGTCTGAGCAGACCTTCGTCCGTCGAATGCAGGCTACTCACATGTCTGCCCACACTGCCACCACCTACTCACCGGCCAGAGCCAGGACTTTGGCTCTTGTTTTGGAGAACTTTGGAATTAGGGTACACTGGTTGTTCTGACAATGAATCGCTGTAGGGGACACGCACAAGGCTCGTTGTCCCACAGGATCTGCAGGCTTCGCTGTGTGATCTGAGGACTCAGTCTCTCTTGCTCGAGGCTCTGCCATTTAACGCACCTGCTCCCCAAGGTGCTCAAAGCCCGTGGTCGTGGGTCAGGGGTTTCTTAAGTGTGGCCTGAAGACGGCCTCCCACTTAGGTGCCCCTGCAGTGGCTGGAAGGCTGCGCCTGTCACACCTTGATGTGAGGACGGTCAGGAGCAGAGCCAATGTGCGTTAGGAGGAGGACATGGGCTGGAAGTCACCGATGTGGGTGTGGCGCAGGGTCCAATTCTGTGGCTTCCCAGAGTGGAAACTTTTCCGATGTGTTTCTTTTGAGAATCAGCTGTGTGAGCTCTTTACCACAAGTCGCCTGTGATGTACTGATGCCTTTTTCTCTGTCCTTGTCTGGGTCATGATGTGATGTGATTGTGCTGATGTTTCACTATCCTGAAAGGTGTCGACTGGGAACATAGTCACCTTAGGGGGACATTTATTTCTACACCAGAACAGCTTCTGGGAAGATAATTATGCCCAACCATCTTTTGGTGAAGGAATAGCATTTATTCTTAATGTACATTTGAAATATGCAAATGTTTGTGTAATTATTGTTAAAAACCACCTGCCCTGTTCGATGACTGACCTTTGCAAGTGGGGGGTGGGACGTCCCATCCTTGCTGGGTGCAGGTGGCTTGTTCTTGCCCCTGCAGCTCGTATCCGTGGTGACAGGAGAACACCAGCACGCGCTTCCCAGATTCCTCGCAGTGCACAAAGTCCCCGTTCTCCACTCTGTCTGGGAGGCCACACTTGTCATCTGCACAATGTTGAAGAGTCGAATTGCAGTCAAACTATGAGGAAATAAAGCTACAGAGCAATATACTGTTATGGGCTGAACTGTGTCCCTCCCAAATTCATGTCTTTACATACCAACCCCCAGTAGCTCAGAATGTGACAACATTTTGAGATAAGGCCTTAAAGAGGGGATTTCCTTACTGTCTTCTGTTTCTGCAGAGTAAGTTCTGTGAAGGAATGTGTGTGTGTGGTATACATGTGTGTGTCTTTGTCTACATGTGTCTGTGTGGGGTGTTTGTGTGCTGTGTCTGTATATGTATGCGTGCATTTATTTCTACAAATGGGTCCTGAGCTCCTGGAGAAGTGCCTGTCCTACTGGAGGCATCAATAACTAATTCTTAAGCTCCTGCTTGGAGCCTGGTCCTGCACAACATGAGCTGGTGTGCGTCATAACAGAATGAGTGTCTCATGCTGATTGAGGTTTGTGAGATATAATTGATCTGGCCATAACCATGTGCAGAACAAACACTAAAGTCAGAACATCTACTTGCTAAGCTAAATCCCAGGAACCTCCACGTTCCTCGTAAGACTCCATCTCTATATAGCCAACATGGTCACTATTTGCTCTTAGAAATGTGCCATCTCATCTGCTGCATTTCCAGGGACAGGTGTGCCCACAGGACATGTGACAGTCCTGCACTCATCTAATGTGACTGTAGCTCTGTGGCTTCCTGGGCTCCAGCAGGTGGAGGCTGGGGTGGGGACACTGCTGGACACCGCACAGACCCCACCGCAGAGATCAGCCTCGGAGGTGCTGATGTGGACGCTGGGGACCTGGATCTACTGCCTTGCTGAGCACTTACAGGACAGCTCGCACACAGCGTGTTTTCCCAGGGAGGGCCCGTGCTGGTCAACTTTGTCCAGACCTTCCTCACCTGAGGAGGACACGACCACATGGCATGAGCCGCTGTGAAGTGGGAGGCAGGTGTCAATGCTGTCACCTAACGTGCAGACTTGAGATCAGCTTCTGGGAGAAGCTGTGCTTTCTTTGATGAAACCCGCACACTGTAACAATGTGAAAAGAGGCGAAGAGTCACCTTGAGGAAAGGTCTCCCTCCACGCTGCCAGGTTCATGCCGGGAATGTTCTCACACCCCTCCAAGTCCTGGGGGAATCTCGTGACATGGAAGGTGTCAACGGGCACGTGGGTGAGGCCTGTATTGTCACAGATGACCCGAGATAAGGAATGCTTCTGCAGTTCATGCCGCTGAGCCTCAGTGAAGACACGGCTGTCCTCCCACCAGAACCTGCCCAGAAGGACAGCGCGTGTGAGAGCCATGGGGTGGACAGCCTGCTGGGGCGGCTGACATTTATGGCAAACACTAAATGTCATCCCACCACTGCATGTGCCCAGCAAAAGGGTGACTATGGTGGACCCAGGACTGGGGACACCGGAGAGAGAATGAAGAGGGGGCTCCCCAGCGCTGATGTGGGGTGACTATCTGAAGAAACAGCGTCAGACGGAAAGGTCCTTAAAGACACTCTTCCTGTTCCTTACGTCGCCTGCTTTGCTGCACTGATTTCTCCTGCGCTGGAGTGCTGTTTTGAAAACAAGAACAACAGCACATTCCGCTTTTAGCAACTGCTGCCGTCCAGACGGAAGCCAGAGTGCTGCGCGATGCCCTCCACCTGCAGTCTCCGCCTGCAAGCCCTGACTAGTCAGGGAGAGCGACAGAGCAGGAAGGGAAGTCTCGCTTTCCTCTCCAAACACTGAAGTCGTTGACAACCCCTGCAGTGCCTACCATAATGCCACAAAGCATTTATTTCTCTTTGTCCAATAAAGCTTTTCTCCCTTTCTTTACAGGAAAGAATTCCTCCTAAAACATGAGAAAGAGGCCTCGTTATACAGAAATTGGTTGGTCAGTTTCTGAAGGCGGGAGATGCTCCACTGTGAGTACCAGGATAAGAAACGCACGCTGCCACTCAGGGACCCAGAGGTCCTGGGACCCACACGTGGGGCACATCGAGGACCTGCCCTGCTCTCTGAATCAGAGGCTTCCACGTACCAGAGTGTTCTAAACCACACAGTTTTGAGGGAGACAAATCGCCCTAGTTGTTTCTGCCCCCCATCTTATCTACTCGAAATGCTCTATCTCATAATTTAATGGTAAAAGTTGTGCTGGGGGAGGAAAGGAGGCCTAGTGTTTGGCTGACGTACTCTTGTGAAAGAGTCTGACTTAGGCACAGTAGCTTCTGAGACAGCGAGGGAGAGAGGGAGAGAACTGGATGTTCAGGGATTATTTAAAAAGGAAAAAGAAACACTTCCCCACTGTTTTGTCTGCATTTTCCCAAATTCTAACTCATCGTGTGTGTTAGCATCTCCTGCCGCACACGGCGATCAGAGCATTAGACACAGACAGGAAGAGCCTCTCCTCTGACTCTCTCTCACTATACAAGGTTCAGAGTTCCAGGCTCAAATCGAGGAGGAAACAGGAATGTGGAAGGCAGGGCATGGGCCCGCTGCCTGCACCTGTGAGCACAGCTCCGCTTGGGCTGGAGGGTGGATGGCAGTGCACGGGCAGAACTCGCAGGCCTTCACCTTGGCACCTGCCAGCCTTCACCTCTGCAGTTTCGACAGATGCTGTCCCAGGACGTCTGATGACGGTGCACTTGCAGGGTTGTCATGAAACACGATTGCTTTTCACTAGATGCCTGCTTAGCCGTGCAATTAGATACGTGGAAAATGAACAGTGGTTCACGTGTGTAAGTGCTGAGACATGCTGTGTACTCTGCACTTATTTAGTCTCTATGATGACCCTGTTTCTCATTTGCGGACATTGCCTGACCAGCTCACCTGAGCACTGAACGACAGAGCCAGTGTTTGCACCAGACCTGCCTGGCTTCAAATGTCACCAAACGGACATGCTTGTAGAATACAGAAGAGACGCGGTGCAGGCCCCTACCTGTCACCATCCCTCAGGGCCTTCATCTGCTTCCCAATGATACAGGTGAATAGAGGACCGGTTCGGGCCCCGGGGAAGAAGTTTTCAGCTAAGCCGCCCAGCCAGACGTCGATGTTGTCAGGGTGCTTGTACAGGTCCATTATCCCGTCGACCACACTGCTGCTGCCTATGGCCGTGCTCAAGTCCGCAGGCGTCTCCAGTCGGCGCAGGCCACAGAACTCCCTCCACGCATTGTAACCTGCACGGGAAGAGGGGCTGAGGCTTCTCAACAGAGATCTGATGGCTGCCTCAGTCTACCTCACCAGGCAGGGGTCCCTGGAAGCCGTAATTGCAGCCAGAGAGAGTCCTGTCATAATCCCCAGCTACAAAGTAGCCACCTCATCACCCTTACTCTTCAGAGTTCAACGTGCTAGAATATTCCGGCACAGACCTCAGGGCTCTTACTCAAGCGTTTGTGCACAGGTGAGCTGGACAGACAACGTGACAGTGCTGAGTCTACGTGGATTAACCGTGCTACCCAGCCTGTGCTCCTCATCTCTGCAGAGCAACCAAGGCAGCCTCACCCTCTGAGGCTTACATTCCATAAGGACACCTGGGGTGCGCAGACCATGGCAGCTCACCCTTGCTGTCTCCCTACCTCTGTCTCTCACACACATAGGGAAAGGGATGCCCACAGACATCTTATTTGCCTGACCCACTTTCTCCTGCACTGGGCATCTTCTGTGTCTCCCCACTGCCTCAGGGCTGTCTTCTCAGCACGCAGGAGCCACCTGCCAGGGGGACGGTCATACTCACACCAGGGACCAGACTGGAACAGCTGGTTAGTGACAGTCCTGAAGGCAGCAGGATCATCCCTGCTGGCCCCAGGACAGTGTGATGGGGCTGGGAGGGAGTGAAGGAGGCTTTTCCCCTCTTCCAGGACTTGCTGCCTCTCAAGGCCTCATCTCATGAGCTAAGGAGGCTCAGGATCCTCTGTGTGCATTTCTACTGTCTAAGAAAAGCTGAAAGCAGCCTCCTCAGTTGAATGAGCTAGAGCAACTCAAAAGCCCATTGCTTACAAGTGGCCAGTAGATTTGCAGATACATCTTACTTTAAATAGGTCTCTCAGAGAACAGGATACTTATGTGGCAAATCATACAGCATGTGTGGGAGGTAAGCAGACCTGGCAGGCCGTGGTCCCGGCCCCTCTGCAGGTTCAGTGATGCCAGATCCATGGTTCCCGAATTTGATATCACGAAGAGCCTTTCTGTCAGCTCCATGTTCATCAGCTGATCTTGCACCTGCAGTTTGGCTGGTCTTGCAAGAAGGCCTCTTAACAGTGGGTCCACACCACCTGGGGAATATCATGCCAAAAGGCAGCAAGAGTTCTCTGCTAAGTTCTGATGAAACAGAACATTATCTCAACCATAAAATGCATCTATGCTCAGCAAATACCTCTGGGCAAATTCGTGAGTTCACCTTAAGAGAGCCAAAGTTTTCCTCAGGATAGTGCCCCTGTTAATGGATTAAACTGGGCTGGCCCTGACCATGTGCTGTGCAGAGGACAGAACTGAAGGGCCCCTCAAGGTGGGACCTGTCCGCTACCGGACTTTTTCATGTTGCTTTTCAGCAGAAGAAACGTTGCAATCAAAGAAGCATCTGCTGAATTCCACTGTCTAGAACAGTAAAAGGGAGACTTGGCTTGACTCAGGGAGCAGTCAGGGGACCTGGCAGCCCTGCTCCCATCACCTCCAAAAGTGCAGGGTCGCCCCCCATGGAAAACAGATCCAATCGCCCCAGGCTTCCTCCATCCCAGTGGCATGTCAATCTACCACGACGTGCAAAAGCATCTTCTAACGGGTCAGTTTGGCCTCCTACAGCCCCCAAAAGTACAATAAGAATCACAATGTGCTCTGGCCTGTGGGGGATGACCTGGTCACCATCAGATCTCGGGCCACTGGTGAAGGCCAGGCTGACCCTGTGACCTCTCCACTGCTTTGCTGAAAGCAGCTTGTTTGGACGGGGTTAAAGGGGCACACTGGCAGGGACTCTGTCTCCCCCACTCTCCGTGCCACCTCATCCACTTGGAGTCCACCAACTTTTGATATAGTTTAGAAGCTTCCAGACAAAAGCAAAGAACACCAGAAAAAGAAACAGAAAGAAAGGTTGAGAAGAAACGTAAAAGTAGCCCTTCTGAAAAACTAGTGGGGCAACAAAAATGTTTTTTTCTGAAGGATTCACTTCCAAGGCAACTCAATTACTAACATGCTAAAGCCACGTGGTGTTGATCATGACCACAGAACAAATAAAATGTTTGACAATTAAGTGTTAATGACATTACGTGTAACGTGCAGTTATAAGTAGAGATTTCTACTTCAGCATTTTTGAAATGACAGGTGGAGGGCTAACCTGCACCTGGAATAGTTTATCCTGCCAATTCTGAACAGCAGAGAGAGTTTAGCCTTTAAAAAATCTCTGCACAAATTTCTTTCTCCGGTGAACGTTGATAACTTGGACAGCATCAGCCAAACGTGCCGCAGGGAAGTGAACGCTGGCACTGCGGTCAGTTACGAGAGAGAAGGGAGACGTCCTGACGACCTGCATAAGGACAGCCACGCACCTCCCTGGATGAGCCTCCAGGGACTGAAGAAGACGTCATGCAGGGGCAGGCCGGGGAGGTCGGGGTGCTCCTGGAAGCGGGTGTCCAGCCGCCTCTCCAGCGGGTGGACCGTGGCGTGGCCGAAGCGGAAGGCAGCCGTGGAGAACACATTGGACACCGTGGGGTTCACAGTGGAGTCATAGCCTTTGTAGGGACCCACATACTGCTCAAAGGCCTCGGGGCCCAGGATCTTGGGGACATAATCCCGCAAGGTGATGATCTGCACAGAAAGGAAAATGGGAGCGTCTGAGTGGGGACAGATTTGCAGTGAAGCCCAGGGAACCAGATGAGGGTTCGGATCAGAGCAACAGGGAAAAAGGACATCTTCCTGATCATCCTGGGCATCACGGGGGACACCTGGTTAAGTGAACAGGGCAGCGGGTGCAGGAGCTCCAGCCATTCCAGAGAAGTCCTGACATCTCTCCACCATTGTGGGATCCGGCAGGGCCTGTCAGCGTCGTCCTCCAAACACGCCCCAGGGCAGCCCACCTAGAACTTGGCCGACCTGCAGGCATGTGGACCAGTAAAGTGGGCCACCAGCTGCGCCCTTCAGAAGTGTGAAGTATTCCCGCTGCAAACCTCTGCTCCCCTTCACTTTCCACTTCACCCACGAGCAATCCCTGAACCCACACATGAGACGTAAATCAGAACTCCGATCACTTCATGGAATCGCAGCCCCAGAGGCTCAGGATTTAGACCAACAGGAATTATAATCTTATCCCCACACTTCTTTGCTGTGTGGCTCTGATAAGTTTGCTAAACCTTTCTGAGCCTGTTTCCTTAAGTGGAAGAGCCCTCCCTCTTTATAGAGTTTTTTATGAGAATTTAAAAAGTGGCTTTATATAGAGAGAACATCGTACAGTATCACATGTAGATGTAATATACATTGTGTTTACATACATACACAGTCATATATACACAAGGAAGATCAATACATGTTAGTTAATTCCCCTCCCCCAAAGTTTAAAGGACATGATACACAATTTAAAGATTATATGTGATGGGTGGCTCTCATAAATTAAAGTTTAAGCAGGGACTAGTTACTTTTTGGGTTAGTTAGTTGTGAGTTTGTTTTCTTTTTCCCCTTCTGAATTGTCACTAGCAGCTGTTTGCTGGTTCTTTGTAAGAGTCACAGAAACGCACTGGCAGGGGTTTCATAGAAACTGAACGTGTGCTCTAGGTTTTGTGCCTGAGTCCAAATTCCGACTTTTTGCTTCACCTTGTGATGATGCATTGCATTGTCTGAAGTGAGAGGATGGACGCGGGTACGTGGAGAGCCGGGAGGTTCCTGTCGTGACCAGGCCACAACACGGAAAGGCAGGGCTCTGTTTGCTGACTTCATTAGGTCTGTGCAAACGAAGTTCCCCTGCCCAGCGATGAAGATTCAAACTGAACTGCCCAGAAAAGTTTTGTTGTCTTTTTCACGGATATTTAGGAGGTGCGCTTACAAGGCCGGATACAGAGTGTCCTTCCCAGGATGGTGATGGGGCTGCTGGTGCTCGAGTACCACCTCAGAGGGAATGTGGGGTCAGCCTGGTGCCCACGATGGGCAGAAGCCCTGGCGGGGGCAGATCTGCTCGCGGTGGGGTGATTTGCAGCTGAAAGCAGTTTGCTGTTCTGTGAAACAGCAACAGTAACTCCTAATTCCCAGAGCTCTGCAAGGATTTGATCAAAGCACACTGCATGCATGTCACAGTGCTTGTCAATGGCGAATTATGCTGCTGTCACAGTGTCCTGAAATACTGTTGACACTTGGTCTCAGGAATGTACAAGGATACTGCTTTTAGGTTTCACAATATATCTTTCAGTTATAAAAATGAGTGTCAGATTGTTCTGGTATTTAAGGAGGATACTTTGGTCAATAACTTGCATCTGAATGGAGTATAAACTTATAGGAAAGATTCTATTCTGGAATATATTTTAGCTTATCTGTTTAGGAAGGAAGGCAGATTGTTTGAACAATAACAAATATTGTTTTTGTTCTTGTAACACCTGCCTTCCAAATGACAATATGTGTTTCCTAAACACACAACATGGTGCTTTACCAGAGACCACAGTGAGCTGTGAGTTTTGCTGTGAGGCTTCTTCCTCTAGTTGAGGGACAGGGTCCTGCTCCAGAGCGACTGCTTGTTCACCCCTACACCTGACACAGGAAGGAGCGGCTCAGTCCCAGGGCTTCCAAACTGTGATTCATCCCTGAGATGGCTCATCAATCAGGTCGAAGTAAGTCAGCACTGCAGAGAGTGCCTACGATTTTACAGTGCCAGTCAGCCTCTCCACTGCAGGTGCAATTTATGCCAGCAAAGTGTTTGGACAGCTGTATTAGTCCGTTTTGTGTTGCTATAATAGAACTACCTGAGACTGGGTAATTTGTAAGGAAAAGAGGTTTATTTGGCTTATGGTTTTGGGACAGCTGCACCTGGCACTGGCCTCAGGCTGCTTCTACTCATGGCGGAAAATGGCAGGGAGCCAGCAAGAGGCTCTCACATGGCGAGAGGAAGCAAGAGAGAGAGAGAAGGTGCCAGGGTCTTTTTAAGCAACAAGCTCTCGTGGGAACTAATAGAGCAAGAACCCACTTATTAATCCTCCCTCCCCCAGGGAGAGCATTAATCCATTCATGAGGGATCCGTCCCCATGACTCAATCAGTTTCCAACACTGCCACATTGGAGACCAAATTTCCACACGAGTTTTGGAGGGGACGACACATCCAAACTCCATCAACAGCGTATATGTCCCAGGGCCTTCCTGGATGCCCCAGTAAGGTGATGTGCTTTTCTCACTCGGAACACGTGCAGAAATCCTGTCCCCAGCAACACCCCTCCCTGTTTCTCCCCACTTCAGTAGAAATGGCCTCTCTCTTCTCAGCCCAGGGAAGTGAGCAGACTCGAAATTCAAATGCAAACCATCTTAGTGACACCTATTTTCTTTCCCTCTGACCTAAGTTTGCCTTGTGACTCCCGAGGATGGAAACAGTCCCATTATGTGGAAGAAATCCCCAAAACCTCGTCCCCACCCAGCCACTTACAAACAACACGACTTTCAGCCGACTGCCTGCAGGGACCCTGCATCTTCAGTGCCTGACCTTGTCAGAGGCCTGCAGTGTGTTCCTCCTCCTCGCCGCCACCTTCTGGTCTCATGTGAACTGTCCACTGCAGGTGAATGTGCTCAGACACCTGCAACTCGCCCCAGGCAGCTGCTGCAGCTGGGCAGAAGCACCATCTGTTCTCACCAAGGGGGCCTTAAACTCTGAGTCCTGTAGGCTGCTCTGAGGGATTTTCATGGTGTTTCTTCTGAAAAGCCTTCTGGTAGTTCCTTACATGGGCCGTGCAGGGAAAGGGGTGAGTTTGAGCTGCTGGGGCTGGGAAAGGGTCCCCCAGTCAGGCCTGGGCATGGTCTGGGCCACTCGGCCTCTCTCCTCACCTCTGTGGGAGGGTTTCATGAAACCTTTTCCGCCCTGAGCAGCAGGAAGGATGGGCAAGCACTGTGCCTAGGAAACCGACCACAGCAAGGTGGGTAGGAAGCCAGGGCCATGGCCAAGGAGACACTAGGACAGAGAGGCCTGCAGATACATCACTGTAAGCAATGCAGCCAAGAACGGCCCCACAGCTGAACGCTCTGGCCCGTCAGTGCCACCCCTGCTGCACAGGAAAGCACTGGGCACATGCTTAACAATGCCCTGCTAGCCTGAGGAGGGGCTGCTCCTCTGTCCACCTCCCAGAGACGGGACTCCCACAGGCTCACTGAGAATGAGCTCCTCAGGACGTTGCTTTTGTTCCATCCCTAGGGCAACTCTGGAGCATGGGCCACACCTGGATTTGGTCCACCTGGAGGCAGAGGGCCTGGCCAGTCCCTGCAGAGGCCACCTGGGAGGGCTGTAACTTCCACAGCTATCTCTGGAGAGGAGCGGCCCGGAGATGTTGTCCGTCAACATTCCAGGCTGCCAGGGGAGGGTCAGGGTGGGGCAGTGACAGCACCCCCCACAGGGACTGGCCTTTCTCCGATCTCTCCAGCCCAAGGAAAGGAGCATGTCTCTATCCATCACCTTCTCTCTCTTCAGGAAGAGTAGACGAGCTGTAAAAAGACTCCTTGGCTGCAGCTAAGACCAATGTTGAGCCTCGCTGAGGACGCAGACCCTCTGTGAGGAATTCCACCTCCTTCAGACAGGAATGCCCAGGGGAGGTCTCTGTCATCTAAAGGAAGTTTTGTTGGTCCCTGGAGATCTGGAGAGAGTAAGGCTGCTCTCTAGAACCTGGTCTGCTGTTTGATGGATGAGGAATATAAAACACCCACACCACATGTCCAAATGGCTTCACCCTTCACCTGCAGCCCACACCCCACGCTGCCGGACACAGAGGGTCTTGCAAAAATGAGCACCCAATTCCGCGTTCTTGTTTTACGACACCCTGTGGAGTGACACAGGGGCTTCTGCAAAGGTGAGGGTTCCGATCCTGTGTGGCAGGAGCCAGGCTTGTGGAACCAGGGCTCTGCAGGATCTCAAGCCCGCATGGGCATGTTTTACAGGTCCTTCCGACGTACGAGTCTCCTGAGACGATGCCACTCCAAGGACTAGCACAGAGGGAGGACTGAGGAGACTCCTACAAAGGTCAGCAGCAGAAGGCGTCTGGGACTGAGGGAGGGTACGTCCACTCATCAGTTTTCTGCAGAAGAATCCAGAAGAGCCAAAGTCATCCTGGAGGGGTGAGTGGTTTGGACCCCAAAAGCTTAGAGTGGGGTGGGGCGGACAGACGCAGGGAAGGGAAATGCATTTCTTGCCCTGAGTCCGGCTTCTTGCTGATGTCTGTGTAGCCGGCCCTAGCTGGCTCATGTGCGTGTCTGTGGGCGTGGGAGAGGGGGGCACTATTTCTCCTTTTTAAACTTGCCCTGATATTTCTTTTCATCTTCTAATGTTTTTCAGGAGGAGAGAAATTCAGATCATAAAGTGACCAATCTATGGGTCACTAAGACCAGGGAGGGAGGAACGGGTCTTCCAGGCCCCTGGGATCCTTCAAGTTCAACTCCAAGTCTCAGCTGTGGCTCTGCCCACACACTGCTTATCACCTTAACGCTTCAAAGGTATTTGCAAAAAGCACTAAAGAGGAACTATTGACACACACACACACACACACACACACACACACACACACACACACACACACAAGGAAGCTCAAAAGTAACATGGAAAGCCAAGAAGAGAATGCTCACGTTTTAAGGAAAAGAAGTGCACAGAGGTTTGGTGGCGGAGGGCAGACACACACAGGGACTGCTTGTTGCTGGTATCGTTATTTCACTTACTGACAAGAATAGGCAACCAGATGTCAGTATTTCCAGGTCAGCTGGGATTCTCAGAAATCCGGAATTAAACTCTAATTCACAACTAGAGAGCCCAGTATAGTGGCATAGTGCGTAGTTCGCTCCCCTAAATAATCCCAGGACTCTGCTGAGAAAGAGTTGAGGGGACCCCAACCCAGCTCTTCTCCTTTGGTGTGAGCAGTCGCTGCAACTCTGCCATGCGGCTGCCCTTCCAGGGGCTCCCTGAGCTGAGTCAGGTTTGCATCCAGTTAAACGAGGTTTAAACACATCCCCGCTCGAGGAGATGCAGAGGGCCGGACTCCTGGGATTTCCTGGATTTCTACTTCATTCATAAATTCAACACGTATTTATGAAGTACCCACTTTGTGCAGGCATATTGTAGGTTCTGGGAGAGCAGAATTAAACAAGCAGACAAGAATCTCTGCCGTCCTTGAGCAGCTGACATTCAGGGAAGCAGACACAGAGGAAACATGAGAAAGAAAAGGGCATGGTGGGTCGGCGGTGATGATCAGGGGAAGAAAACAATCACCCGGGATCCACCTTGCCAAAACGTGTGCCCAGCAGCAATGCTTCATAAAGCAGGTGAGTGTCCCCTTCTCTGAGGGTCACAGGGAGGACTGGAGACATGATGTCAGGTGTGTAACACAGGCCTGGCACAAGATGCACAGCAGCTCCTGATGACACTGAACAACTGGCTCCGACCTCCTAATGACCCAGAGAACAGTCACGTCGGTAACTATGTTCAAAAGGCACAAGTAACTTTCTCCGACATTACACAGTTAATAAATGGCCACATTGACTCTCTGATTCAGTCTTGAAAATAGTCACAAAACAAAGAAAGAATTAAAATAAACTCTTAGTTTAACTCGATAATTCAGAAATCTCCCACAGAATCATTAAGTTCTTTTTCTCCATTGTTTTCCAAAGTACAAAGATATCAGACATCATGGGTGTCCACCCACCTCAAAGGGTTGTCAGGAGGGTTGCTGAATGGGTTAAAATCTGTAAAGCACCAGGAAAGCACTGGATGAACGGGGCCTGTTATTGTTGCATAGCTGTGGTTGCTGCTGGGATCTTGGTGGATAATCCTGTTTAGCCCTAAAGGGGATCAGGAAAGCTGGGATGAAGGAGCCCTGGGAGTTTTCCAGCACCCGGGGGTAACATCCACCTCGTGGTGCAAGGTGCTCACTATGACTTTGCCAGCACCCACACAGGGCACCCCCAGAGACTCTCTGCATCCACACAGGGCACCCATGAAGACTCTCTGCACCCACACAGGGCACCCTCAGAGACTGCATGCACACAGGCACCCACGAAAGCTCTCTGTACCCTCACAGGGCACCCCCAGTGGCTCTCTGCACCCACGCAGGGTGCCCACCACCTTGTGCACACCCATTTGGGGTGCCCATGATGACTTTGCAGGCACCTGGTGTAGGGCACCCATGATTTTGTGCCCACACGTAACAGGACACCTGGGATAACTCTGTACATCTGTTTAGGGTGCCCACAATGACCTTGCCCACACCCACACAGGGATGTCTCGGCACACACCTGGTGCAGGGCACCCACAACCTTGCGTGCCTCCTGGTAAGCAGCGTCTGCACTCCAGTGTGGGTTGAGGGCCTTGAGCGCAGTGGCCAAGCGGTTGTGCTCACGCAGCCACAGTGTGTGCATGGCAGCCAGGGAGGGGACCTCGCTGGCACGGCCATCCCCGGCCAGGAAGCAGGGGGCATGGGCAGCATGGGTGCCAGGCTTGGGTGCGCAGGCCGAGGGTGCGTGCGGTGGCACAAAGGGCAGGTAGGCACGGCCAGCATCCCAGTGGCGAGTGTTAACCCGGAGAAGCCCCTCGGCGCTGGTCCAGTTCCGCAGCTGCTTCTCCAAGGCTAGGGAGCTTCCATACACGGTGGATGCATCCAGGAAAGAGGTCAACCCGTTCATCTGTTGTCGCGGATTTGCCTGGGAGAGGTTGCCAAAGAACGCACCTTGGTCACCAGTGCCGCAGGTGGCAGACGAGCGGTAAAAGGGCAAACACGTGGTGCCTGCCGTCTGCGAGGAGTTCCCGGGGAGCTGCAAGCAGAGTGAGATCAAGGTCACCCAGGGTTCCTAAGACATCAGAAGCCCTCGGCCCGGGTTGTTTTGCGGTCCAGTCTGTCCCCTCTCTGTCCAGCCAGCCCAGCCCCTCCTTGCCTCCTCACTTGCCTGGGAGAGGCCGAACCCCGTGGCTGGAGTCCCCATTCGAGGAGCCAGCCTAACCTCACAGTTCTGGTCCTCTCGGCCTAACCAAGTCCTTTATTTCCTGGGACCTGCCCTGGCAGCTCATGGGATCCCCACATCTGTGGTCTACTTTCTGCCTTTTGGAGGAGCTGGCATCTTCTCTTTCTGAAGGATATGGGCTTCCTTCAGGATTACGATGGGCAAAGAGTTACAGAGTTTTGTGGGCATCACCATTTGGTGGAAAGACCATTGTAAGGTTGGTGGGAGGCCCCTGGTTCTGGCTCTAGCTCTGCTGTAACTTACAGTTTCAGTTTTTTCATCTGCAACCTGGAGATCTAAAACATGCTTTGCTACATTTACAGGTGTCTTGGGAAGAGTCAGGCCGAGTGCTGGATGTGACAATCTTTGTGAACTGCTGAGAGTCTATGCCTGTCCAAGGGCGGCTCTTCCTTCTGTGAACGAGCTGTAGCACTCGGGCTGCCTCTCGACTCCATGTCCACATGAGGACGTGGACATCACCATTAGTGTGTCTGAGGCCCAGAGAGGGTAACAGCTTGCTCAAAGTTGCAGGTCACAGTGGCTGGACAGACTCCGAAAGAAGGGCTCTGACTTACTAAAACTCACTGTCTTCCCATAAGGATGCATTATTATTAAAAGTGAAAATAGGTAAAAAGCCCCTCTACAGGTGAAGCCCTATACCAGGCACTGTGAGGAACAGTGAAGAGCAGAGGACCTTGGGCCAAGTAGGTGGACACGGGCACTGCTGGGCAGAGGTGGCTCACCCCAGCTAGACTCCACAGCTGCAGAGCTGATGATGGACTCAATCAAATCTGATGCAATGGAAAGGACGAGGGTCAAGGAGGGAGCTTGCCCTGCAATAGAGAAGCAGGGCAGATGCCCTGAGCACCCCACAGGCTGGGTCAGCACCGCTGCGGCCGTGCAAGTTCAGGCTGATAGGAAGGCCCAGGTCCTCGCCCAGCTCTGCCTTGGGAGTGGGCAGCATGTCCACTGCTGTGCACTAAAGTAAGTGTTTCCCCCGAAAGCCCCCAGGGAGCACTGCTGAGGATGGGGGCTGGGGTCAGAGCAGGAGGGGTGTGGAATATGAGGGGCCCCAGGAAACTGCAGGCAGGAGCCTAGGATCAAGTCAGCTAAAATAGAGAAAAATGACTAGAAAAGCCAAGAGAGCCTGGACGGAGGAGACTTCAGTGCAGTCCTTCAGAGTAAACCAACCCAGTAGCCCCAAGATGAGAAAAGAAACAGAGGAATTACATGGAAGCATACAGAAAATAAAACTACACACAAATAATAAAATGGCCATAAAAATTATCCTAGATAATCACTGGTTCAAAGACAAATTTAAAAAGAAATTAGATGTCTCTAGAAATCAATGAAAGGTTCAATTACCTATTAAAAAAATCCAAGTGCAATAACAGAGATTTCATTGGAAGAAAATCTAGTCCTTAAATTGCCTTTATTAAAACAACAGCAGCAGCAACAACGACAATGGAGCTAAGCGGTCACCTTAGTGGTCTAGTCAAAAAACAAAGAGAGAAACCAAAAGTAAGTTAGAAAGGTAAATTAACAAATACAAGAGTTAAAATTAATTAATTATGAAAAAAGAAGAAATAATAGAAATGAAACATAACCCAGACTTCACAGCACAATGAAAGGAACAGAAGCAAGGGCGCACAATGAGACACGATTTGGAATGAGGAAGGGTCAGGAGTACAGGGACTGAAAGATTGCATGTGATTATCGTATGCAATTCCTTGATGACATACTTTAAATAGAAGAGCAAATGGATGGCTCTGTGGCAAAATATAAATAAGCAAAATTGCTCCAAGAAGAAATGGAAAACTCAGATGATCAATTACCACAGAAGAGATTGGCAAGATGACCAGAAATACAACACTGATGGGAGCTCAGGCTCAGGTGGCATTTATAGCTGACATCTACCGAATCCCTAAAGGACAGGTAATCCCTGTGTTGCTTAAACTCTTTCAGCCATAGCAAAGATGGAAAGTGCCCCACCTCATTTTAATGAGTCAGTGAAACTTTAATATTAGCCTCTGACAAAAACAGCACAAGGACAGAACATACAGATCAACAGCCTTCAAATAAAGTAATAAGAACTGAAAAAGAACGGAATTCTCCCATTCGCAACAACATGGATGAGCTTGGAGAAACTCGGGTTGAGTGAAATAAGCCAGGCCCAGAGGGACAAATACCACATGTCCTCACTCATAAGTGGGAGGTGAGAGAGAAAGAAGGAAGGAAAGAAAGACCACAGTGGTGCGTTGGACTTACAGAGGGAGAGAGCAGACCTAGGCATGCAAAGCAGAGTGCGGGAAAGGGAGATGGGGAGGGAGGTCAGGAATGATTGGATATGGGACATGGTATAATCACAATTCATGGTAATGGGCATGCTGCCAGTATGGATCTGGCCACCACATCTTGGGCACGAGTGGTGCCAATCAGCTTTGTACCCCAGGAATATGCATAACCAATAAAAATAAAAATAATAAAAATAATAAAGTAATAGGACCTGAATAGGGCAGTGAGTCAAAAGAGCAACAGGGTTTATTCCCAGAATGGTTCAGTGTTAGAGAATAGATTCATAATATCCACAGCGTCAAGAAATTAAAGGACAAAGATTAAGATCAGTAGGTACTTAAAATGCAATGACAACATTCACTACTATTTACCATTCCTTATTAAACAGAAGTAAAGTAAAATAGAGTGAAATTACTTAAATATGATGTAGAAGCAATAACAAATATTATCACAAACTGTGAAATAAAACTTTTTCATTTAAAATTAAGAACTTGAACAGAAAGCAGGAGAGCATCCGGAGACATCAGGAGCCAAGGGCAGCCCCCACTGCTGCCATAGACACTGCTGCCATGCAGGTAGTCCACCACAGCCACCACTACAGCCACTGCCACTGAGAGGGTGGCTAGACATCACTGCAGCAGCCACTGCCACTGTGCAGGTGTTCCACTGACCATGTGACTGCAATGACACAAGAAAGGTCATCAACGAGCCAAGAGAAAGAGGTGAGCAGGTGCAGACCCGTGACCTAGTCTAGTGCCCAAACTACAGGGGGAATTACACTGCCACATGAGTAGTGCGGCTAGGGGTGGAGGGTATGTGCACAACCAATGCTACTACCTAGATCTGGGGAGAGACACTTGTGGAACCCTCTGAGAGTGCAGAAAGCGGGATACATAAATAGAATAAGGAAGAAAATTCCCAATCACCACCAACCCATCCTCCAACTGGGGGAAGCAGAAACTCAGGAAGAGTCTCTGCCTATAGGAAAGATGAAAGAGATACTTCACCCAGGATCTCTGATTCAAAGTGAGGATATCCAGTATACCCCAGTACACCCATCAAGGTCATGAGATGTCAGCTGCGGTGCCAAAAAGTCAGCCAAGGGTCACTCACCCCAGCCAAAGAGCAGCAGGGCCTCCAGGGGCTTCTCCCAAGGGCTTGAATGCTTGCCCCTGTCCTTGATGAACCAGCACAGTGTCATTAACCTCAGCAAGGAATCACCAACACCCCCAGTGCCAAGGCCACAGAGGAATTCATATGCAACTCCAACACTGATTACAGCCAAAGTATTCACACAAAGACTACCTTACTGCATCTACCCAGAACCAATACTAAAATACCCTACTCAACGTTCAATATAAAACACAACTAGAGAGGAAAGTCACTCTCCTCAAAGTTCACTCCAGAGTAATAGAAGAAGCAACTGCTCTACCAGATGACTAGACATCAATGCAGAGATGTTAGAAATACAAAAATCCAAGAAAATATGACACCACCAAAAGAATACAGTAATTCTCAAGTATCAGACCCCACAGAGCATGAAACACTTGAAATGACTGACAAAGAGTTCCAGGCAACAATCTTAGGGAAACTCAATGAGATACAAGAAGATTAGTTAGAAAACACAATGAAATGAGAAAAACTATCCTGGATATGAAGGAAAAAATTTGTAAAGAGATTAATACCATAAAAAAAGAAGGTAGCAAAAGAACTCTTAGAACTGAAGGATTTAATCAAAGAAAAACAAAACAAAACAAACACACAATAAAACAAGAGCTTAAGCAGCAGCTTAAGGCAAGCAGAAGAAATAATTTTTGTTCTTGAAGATGGTCTTTTCAAAATAACAAAGGCCAGATGGAAGGCATGGGGAATGATTACAATGTGCAATGCTGAATAGCTGATAATAATAATAATGATGATGATGATAATAAAAGAAGCACAAGGGGGATTCTTGAGATACAAAAATAAATAAATATACAAGTAACAGGCAAACAAAAAAATTTTAAAAAAAGAAAAAAGAATTTTAAAAATGAAGATAATCTAACAGAGAACCAGCGAGAACCTTAAGTGCACAAATATTGCATCATGGGTGTTCTGGAAGGGGAGGAGAAAAGCAAAGCCATTGAAAACTTCTTCAGTGAATTAACAGCAGAAAAATTATTACCTCACAAATACAGGGAGAGATGCTGACCTTTGGATCCAGGAGGCTCAAAGATCCCCAACTGATTCAATCCCTAAAAATCCTCTCCAACATACACTGGCATATGCAAATCCTCTCCAACATACACTGGCATAGTCAAACTGGCAAAGCAAAAGTAACACTAAGAGGGAAGTTTGTTGCAATAATCATTTGCATCTAAAGAATAGAAAGATTGCAAATAGGGCTGGCCTGGTGGCGCACTGCTACAGTGCACCACTTGGGAGTGCCGTGGCGCTCCCGCCGAGGGTTCGGATCCCACATACAGACCGGTTCCCGCTCACTGGCTGAGCGAGGTGCGGGAGCGACACCGAGGGTTGCGATCCCGTTGCCGGTCCTGGTCCAGTACGGGCGCGACACTGAGGGTTGCCATCCGTCGCCGGACACGAAAAAAGACAAAAAAGGAAAAAAAAAAAAAAAAAGATCGCAAATAAACAACTGAGTGTTACAAATTAAAGAACTAGAAAAACAAGAAAATCCCAGTCCTAAAATTTGTAGATGAAAAGAAATTATTAAGATCAGATTAAAACTAAAGGAAATGGAGCCCAAAAAACAATACAAAAGATCATTGAAACAAAAGTTGTTTTTTTGGAGAAGATGAACAAAATAGATAAACTATTAGCAAGGCTAGCTAAAAAGAGAAGAGAGAATACATAAGTAATAAAAATCAGAAGTGAAAAAGAAGGCATTACAACTGATACCAAAGAAATACAAAGAATGATTAGACGCTATTATAAACAAGTCTATGACAACAAATTTGAAAGCCTGGAGAAAGTGCATACAGTCTGCACACATACAAACCACCAAGACTGAACCAAGAAAAATTAGAAAACCTGAGCAGACCTATAACAAGCTACAAAATTCAAGCAGAAACCAACATTTTCCCAACAAAGAAAAGCCCAGGACCAAATGCCTTTACTACTGAATTCTTCCAGACATTGTAAGAGGAACTAATTTCAATTCCCTTCACAATATTCCAAAAAATTGATACAGCAGCCATTCTCCCAAACTCATTCTATGAGGGTGGCATCACCCTGATACTAAAACCAGACAAAGATACAGCACAAAATTAAAACTACAGGCCAATATCTCTGATGAATATAGACACAAAAATCCTCAATAAAATATTAGCAAATAGCATACAGCAACACATCAAAAAAATTATACACCATGATGAAGTGGAATTCATCCCAAATATTGAAGAATGGTTCAATATACGTGAGCCAATAAATGTGACACACCACATCAACAAAATGGAGAGCAAAAACCATATGATTATCTCAATAGCTGCAGAAAAAGCTTTTGACAAAATTCAACATCCTTCATGATAAAGTCTGTCAGCATATTATGTACAGAGGGAAAATATCGGAACACAACAAACAAGACTGAAAACAAGGATGCCCACTCTTCCCACTCCTGTTTCACATATTACTAGAAGTACTAGCAGAGCAATCAAGCAAGAGAAAGAAATG